GTTCCTCCAGATTATTTTGGTGCGACACTTACGGAGGAATTCTTGGAATGAGGAAATTTCTAAGGAAATAATTAATACGTTTTAAAATTGTGGTTTCCTTTTAATCAAAAAAATCTGCTCTGCAGACATTAAGCAAACCTATTCTCCAAAGCAGTAGGCTTTAAAAAATATCCCTTGGCTGAAATATTCTTCAACTTGATTGATCCAGACAATGGTAAGGGGAAGTTCACTTCTCAGAAGAGATGGGGCCATTGCATGTGTGTTTTAACCAGGACTTGTTTGTTTTCTCTATTTCTTTAGGAGTTCCTTCCTCTTTTTGTCTTGGGGGGAGTCTCCCTCTAATTTTGCCTTTGTCTTTTCATAGATGGAGGCCTTTAAGGGGCATGGTGAAGGCCAGCAGTCACTGGTAGATCTGGGCTGGGAAGCGGCAGTAATGTGATTTGTGTGTTATTTGGGAGCGTGTATTAAGATGGGGCCTAATTAAATTGAACTCCTTAATACGTGCATTAAAAAAATGTTTGAGGGGCGCCTGGGTGGCGCAGTCGGTTAAGCGTCCGACTTCAACCAGGTCACGATCTCGCGGTCCGTGAGTTCGAGCCCCGCGTCAGGCTCTGGGCTGATGGCTCAGAGCCTGGAGCCTGTTTCCGATTCTGTGTCTCCCTCTCTCTCTGCCCCTCCCCCGTTCATGCTCTGTCTCTCTCTGTCCCAAAAATAAATAAACTTTGAAAAAAAAAATTAAAAAAAAAAAATGTTTGAGGGGTGCCTGGGTGGCTCAGTCGGTTGAGTGGCTGACTTCGGCTCAGGTCATGAGCTCGCGGTTTGTGGGTTCAAGCCCTGCATAGGGCTCTGGGATGACACCTCAGAGCCTAGAGCCTGCTTTGGATTCTGTCTCTCTCCCTCTCTCTCTCCGCCCCTCCCCTGCTCACACTCTGTCTCTCAAAAATAAACAAACATTTAAAAAAATAAAAAAAAAATGTTTGAAGTCCCATGATTTTCCTATAGGTATAATAGATGACTTCATGCCTTTGTGAGCAGTGTGTAAACACATTGAACAGTGATTAATGTGCACATGGCTGGTGGGAATGTAAATGGACAGAGCCAGTTGGGGGTAGGTTGGCAGTAGATGGTTCCACCTGGCTGAAGAGAGGGAGATTGCAAGGACTTGAGGCAATAAAGATATATTGGGATAACTGGGGTGCCTGTCTGGCTCCATCAGTAGAGCATCTGGCTCTCGATTTCAGGGTTGTGAGTTCAAGCCCCATGCTGGGTGTGAAGCTTACTTAAAAAAAGTTACATATATATTATATATATATATATTATATATATATATATATATATATATAATAATATATATTATATATAAAATATGTAATATATGATATGCTTCATATAAAATATATGTAATATATAATAAATATAAGATATATAATACATATATAAAATATATATACTATATATATGAATATATATAATATATATGTATATAAAAATATATAATATATATACAAAAATATATTATATATGTATATAAAAATATAGGTATATAAAATATATATATATATAATACTTTTTACCCCGGGGTAAAAAGCAAAATGTCTTCTATCCCCCAGCATTGTAGGAGAGGCTATAAATTGGAGCTCCTTGCACTGGGGAATGGCTAAATAAACCACTGCCATGTGCAGCATGTAGAGCAAGTGAGGTCAGTCTATCTGAACTAAGATGAAAAGGTTTGCATGGCCTGTTGTTGAACGAGAGAAGGAAGCAGAGTGAAGAAGTTATTATATGTGATGTGTGTGTCGTCCCATAAATGCAAAGAAAACGACCTGAAGGCTGTGAATCTGAGGTCGACGGTGATCTCTAGGGAGGAGGACAGCAAGGAGACTTTAGCTTTTTTAAACAGGAGAACACATTTATGTAGAAGGAGAAAGATCAGGTTTTAAGTTACCTATGGTAGAGCAGTTCCATTTTCTCCTTCTCCCCCCACCCCCTTCCTTCCTTTTGTGTTTAACAAAAGGAGAGCCACATTGAAATCATGTCCTACGTGCACAATTCAGGTACAGTTCAGAGCTTTTAGGTAACCACTGAGGAGTTAAGCCAAGGGGGTCAGAGTGTGACTAGGGGGTTGGCGGTGAAAATCAGCTCTGGGCAGTGGAAACAGCTCAGTGCTGGCCCCTGTTCTGTGGGTGACTGCCTCTTTGACCTTGGCCAGCCTGGGAGCCTTTCTGGACCCTCATGTGTTGCCCCTTGTAAAACAAGGGGTGGTCTTAAACCCTCTTATTTTAACTCTTAAAGATCTGTCATTCTTTAAACAATTCCTTAGAAGGTTGAAGGCTGTGGTCATGACAGTGAACAGCTTGCTGTGGGATAATGTACGTAGACGGTACACTGTTCCTCCTTACCTGCTTGGTGAAGGAGAGTTGGCCGTGTTTCTAAGACTGGAGACTGTACGCCAGCTGGGACATCTGAGACCATTTATTCATACTCTCACTCAGGGTCACAAGTAGCTCAGGGGCTTCCCATGTGGGATGGAGAAGATCCCCACTGGAACAGACTCACCAGGAAAAAAGTACCCTCTTCTCCAGAATGGTGCAGCCCCGCGGGGGATTTCAGTCTTAGATTTTAACCACAGGCACCAGCCCGGCTCCTATCCCGCTGCTGACGCAGGATCTGGTTCTCCTCTCTTTACTTACTTTATTTCCCTCCTACCCGGCCTTTCTCCCTTTCTAGAAGTGGTGTCACTTCTAACCGCTCTTGCTCCCAGATGGTGACAGGGGCCTGCATAGGCCACTGATGTTGCCAGTCCTTACCTACACACCTCAAGTCCTGGGGTTTGCTGATTGCGTTTTGATTCGTTGTGCACCAGTGCAATTTCCTGGGTCTGGTAAAGCCTTTCTACCCTGGTTCCTTCAGTTCACTTCAGACACCCATCCTCTTGGTTCCCCTGTGGCCTCCTCTGTACTGTTCAACATGGGTGACTGGTCTTCTGAAGGATGCCAGGCCCTTGACTTTCTGGACTTTATCTGCCCCATCCTCCTATCTCTGAAAGTTTTTTTCTAGTCTTGTGTGTGTGTGTGTGTGTGTGTGTGTAATCCTCCCACCCCTCCCCATTGGTGTTGCTCTTTTAGACTTAGCTGTGGTCTTCACGTTCTGCATACTTCCTGTGCCTGCAGTCACTTATGAGTCATGATTAGAAGTGAAACTTAAAAAGCTGCATGTCCCTACCACTTGGTACCTTCTAGGATGGCCCTATTTGAAAACAAAAACAACGAGAAAATAAGAAGTGTTGGCAAAGTGGTGGAGGAATTAGAGCCCTGGTACGTTGCTGGTGGGAACGTAACATGGTATAGCCACTGTGGGCCACCGTGTGGTGGTTCCTCAATCAGTCAGATATGGAATTACCATTGGATCTGGTGATGCCAGCTTGGGAATATGCCCAGAAGACAATGAGTAGTCAACAGCTTGTACATGGATGTTCGTAGCAGCACCATTCGTAACAACCCATTAATGAGTGAAGGATAAACAAATGGGGTATTCAGATGATGGAGTATTATTCAGCCACACAAAAAAGAAGGAAGTACTGATACGTGCTACAACATGATGAACCTCAAACACATTATGCTAAGCAAAAGAAGCCAGACACAAGGGTCATATATTATATGATTCCACCTTTATGAAGTATCCAGAATAGGTAAATCCGTAGACACAGAAAGATTAGTGGTTGCCAGAGCCTGGGGCAGGAAGGAGGGAGTAGAAGGTGCCTGCATACTGGGTATAGGATTTCTTTTTGGGGTGATGAAAATGTTTTGGAACTAGATAGAGGTGATGGTTGTGTATTATGAGGGTATTTAAGGACACTGAATTGTACACTTTATTTTTTAAATTTTTTTTTAAATGTTTGATTTATTTTTAAGACAGAGACAGAGCATGAGTGGGGAGGGGCAGAGAGAGAGGGAGACACAGAATCCGAAGCAGGCTCCAGGCTCTGAGCTGTCAGCACAGAGCCCGACGCGGGGCTCGAACTCACGAACTGTGAGATCATGACCTGAGCCGAAGTTGGACACTTAACCAACTGAGCCACCCAGGCGCTCCAAGAATTGTACACTTTAAAATAGTTAATTTTATGCTGTCTGAATTTTACCTCAATTAAAAAAAATTTGGGATAAAGGAACTGGCTATGACCACACCGCCCCCCACCAAAAAAGATTAAAAATAAGTTAAAAAAACAATTTCAGGTGAGCCGGCCAGCATGATAGTCACTAGCCACTTGTGGTTGCTGAGCACATGTAATACGGCTGGGCCAGATGGAGGTTGCTGGAAGGATGACATTCATACTGGACTTCAAAGCCTTATGTGAACAAAAGAATGTAAAAGAGCTCATTAGTGATATTTCAATAGTGATTATGTGTTGAAATGATACTATTGAGTATATTACATTAGATAACCTATATATATTTTTAAAATTTTTTTTTTTTCAAAGTTTATTTATTTTTGGGACAGAGAGAGACAGAGCATGAACGGGGGAGGGGCAGAGAGAGAGGGAGACACAGAATCGGAAACAGGCTCCAGGCTCTGAGCCATCAGCCCAGAGCCTGACGCGGGGCTCGAACTCAGGGACCGCGAGATCGTGACCTGGTTGAAGTCGGACGCTTAACCGACTGCGCCACCCAGGCGCCCCTATATTTTTAAAAGCAAATACCCCCTGGAGAGAAAAGAGGCTTCAATCCACACTAGAACCTGAAAATTTGATCTTTACCTAAGGTTTGAAGCTGCCCCCATAATCAAAGAGATGGGAAGGAGTCCCCATGAAAGAAGTCTTAAATTTCCCTGTATCTGCAGTTAAAAAAAACCAAAAAACACAAAAAAACAAAAAACATAAGAGCTTAGACAAGAGGTATGGCCACATTCCTCCCAGTTTGCAAAGAGCATATTTGGAACACATGGCTTTGTTTTTTGCCCTTTGACTTAATATTTCTTTTCATTTTACATCCCCCCCCCACCAGATCAGCAATGTCTTATTTTTCGTCTTACCGCCCATCTGCATGTGCTTGTTTCGTCAGTATGCAACATGCTTCAACAGTGGCATCTACCTAATATGGACTCTCTTAGTGGTAGTGGGTAAGTGGATTCATTTTCAAGCATGGGCTGAAAGGGAGGAAATGGAATTCTGCACACTTCCTGTCCTGTTTGAACATTATGTTTTGTAAACCAAAGTCACTCTGACGTCTCAGCCAACTTTTATTTTGCTTGCTTGACGCCAGAAGGAGGGCTCTTTTGAATACGGCCTTGATAACAAGGTTGACTGTAATTATCACTTAATTGCCTTCGAAGGTTTATTTATGTAATGGCTATTGGTGCTGTGCCAGTGCCATTTTCTGACAACTTCTGAAGACGATCACATGAAATGATTGAACTCTGATGAGACTTTAGTGTAACGGATCAAAATTTAAAAAAAGAAAATTCTAGATGTTTGGAGCCTTCATTGTTCTGGGAAACACTTGTGCAATTTCCATTTCCTTCCACAGCAGGTTGGGAATACTTAACGGTGAGAGAATGTTGGCTCGTTTACTGCCTGTTCCCATGAAGCCTTGGTGGATGAGGACAGAGTGTGTCTAACTGTAGGATTATTAAAGTTCTGATGTGCTGACATTGGGTCCTGCTTGAAATCCGCTCTCTAGGGCTTCAAGCGTGCATGCCTAGGTGGTAGGGGTTTCTGCCTTTAGCTTCTGCTTTCAGTGCGAACGTGATCTTGTGACTGGGACAGTGGTTGGTTGAAAGGGCGGTCCTTCAACAGTGTATTGGATTTGTGAGTCTGTTCTTCTGTGGTGACCTTTGTGATTGGTTGTAATTGATTCTAGGAATTGGATCCGTCTACTTCCATGCAACCCTAAGTTTCTTGGGTCAGATGCTTGATGAACTTGCAATCCTTTGGGTTCTGATGTGTGCTCTGGCCATGTGGTTCCCCAGAAGGTATCTACCAAAGATCTTTCGGAATGACAGGTAAGCTCGTGCTAAACATTTTTGCATTCACTGCTAGGTGCAGTACCCAATATATCCACGTACGTATCAAGAAAAACAGCACACAATGTAGCCTAACTTTGTGATGAGCTTATCATATACTTGTTTAATATCCACCGATTGTTTAATCAGTTTGTTTATGGTCTGACATGATAAAGAGGAAATTTTAGTATACTTGAAGAATTTATATGCTAGTGGGGGAAAATGTCAAATGTCTCTCTTATAGGATATGAACAAAAGTGGAAAGATTTTCAGTGGGGGAGAAATTATGGAATGGTAGTTCAAAGACCTTTGGTTTGCTGCTAGAACATTTCCTCGAGTCCAGTCAAGTTCTACCATTTGCTAAGTTTACAGTAGAATTCCACTAAGGAATTAGTTCCTGCAGTTATAGATTCTGTAGTTGTCAAACGGTATTGGTTTATATTTCTGCTGAGATCTACACGCATGCACACACACACACCTTTAAGCTGGAAATTCAGAATTTCAAGAGTGGATGCATTTTATTCATTAAAAAACCTTTAGTGTTCATTTTTATTTTGAGAGAGAGAAAGAGAAAAAAAAAAAGTGAACAGGGGAGGGGCAGAGAGAGAGGGAAAAGAGAAGATCCCAAGCAGGCTCCGTTCGAACTCACAAACTGTGAGATTAGGACCTGAGCTGAAATCAAGAGTCGGACGCTTAACTGACTGAGCCACCCAGGCGCCCCAAAAGATGCATTTTCGCATCTATTATGATGCTTATATGGTTATCCATCAAGTATTTTTTTGAACACTTAACTATGTAATTTTCTAGGCACTGGGCTTTGGCAGTAAACAAAACAGTAGTCTCTGCCTTCAGTGAGTTTATACTGAAGTTGAGGAGGGTACAAACCAATGAACAAACAAACAATACAATGTTATGGTAAGTGCCATGATAAAAAGTAAAGCTGGTAAGGGGTAGTGGTGACATGGGGTGCCGATTTAGAGTTTGGTCAGGGAAAGCCTTTCTGAGGAGCTGTATGAGGTTTGTTAATATCTGAAGGAACAGAAGAGAGCCAACCTCATAACGATGAGAAGGGTTCCTAGAATATACTACCCACATATATTTCTCTGTAGGACACTGTGTTTTGTCACTATATATGGATGTAGTCTAAAAACATGGATATAATTAAGCAAGCTGTGTATACCCAGGGAAGAGCTCTACTGGGAAAATAAAAGAATTCCTTACGGTTTTTCTGGTACTGTGACCAGGAATAGGAGTTTTATAGGTGTTAAAGATGAGGCTCCCTTCTATGGATGGAGGTGGAGGAGTGTCCATAAAACACGCTGACTGCAAAAAGCACATGGTATCTTAGTTTGAGAATGAACCAATCTTTTTTTGAGTATATGTTTTTGTATATGCACAGAAATGCCTGGAGGAGGAAGACAGGCACTGATACCATTGGCTATTCTTATTTTTTTATTTTTATTTTTTTTAATATTTATCAATCTTTGAGAGAGAGAGAGAGAGAGAGAGAGAGAGAGAGAGGCCGAATGTGAGTGGGGAAGGGGCAGAAGAGAGGGAGACACAGAATCCAAAGCAGGCTCCAGGCTCCGAGCTGTCGGCACAGAGCCCGACGCGGGGCTCGAACCATGAGATCATGACCTGAGCCCAAGTCAGTTGCTTAACCAACTGAGCCACCCAGGTGCCCCACCATTGGCTACTCTTAGGAATGGGGTGGGGAGGGGAGAACCTTCATGTTTGCTTTTGATCTATACTGCTGTACAGTTTTTGTTTTTAAAGAGTGCATGTTAATTTTTAACACTGAAAATGTATTTTAAAATGAGATAGGGAGAAGACCTACTTCAAGTGAACGAGCTGTACAGTTTTTATTGTACAAGAAGGATTTGAATTAAATAGTATTTTGAGTATCATCGAGCAGCTCAGGTATCCTCAAGGTTCCTGGATCACAAAACCACGAGAGAGTGAGCCAGCTGCTTACTAGAAGTGATAAGAAGGGCATTCCTGGTCTTGGGAGAAATACGGTCTCCTTGGCTGAGGCTTTCTCCTCAGTGGGGGAGGGAGGCTCTCATGTGTAGCAGGTTGGTTTGGGCCGTCTCCAGTTTCCAGTCTTGTGCGTGTTCCGCTTCGGTTACGGGACTGGAGAGGAAGCACTTAGAAAGCCCTGGGAGGTGGAGAAGGGGCTTCCTGACTCTGGCTGAGAAACATCATTTACTTTTGGCCTCTCCTTTGGTGTCGAAGGTGCCCACCGCTCACCTCCATCCCTGCCCTGAGCCTGGGGTGTGGGAGGTTGAGCGCTGAGGGGCCTCTTGGTTCTCAGATCTGAGCTTTCAAGTCCTGGGATCTGAGGGAGAAGCTGTGAGCATGAGAAGAATGGTTTTGTTTGTTCATGGCCCTCCGGAGGCGCCACTTGGAATTCCAAGCAACTATTTTTATTTTTATTTATTTATTTACAAAAAAATGTTTTTAATCTTTATTTTTGAGGGAGAGAGAGACAGAGTGTGAGCAGCGGAGGGGCAGAGAGAGAGGGAGACACAGGATCGGAAGCAGGTTCCAGGCTCTGAGCTGTCAGCACAGAGCCAGATGTGGGGCTCGAACTCATGAACCACAAGATCATGACCTGAGCTGGAGTTGGACGATTAACTGACCGAGCCACCCAGGCGCCCCTCCAAGCGACAGTTTTTAATGTGTTCATGATGTGAAAAAGAAAAACTTTCTCTTTCTTGAAGGGAGAAGTGGGGAAATGTTATGAGCAGGAGAGAGGAAAATGGATGTATTTCTAGAAGCTTACCAACTTTTAACAACAAAGCCCATATCATGGGGCAGAGAAGTCAGTACCACTTAGGACCTTTTTCATGGCAACACCCTGCACGTTTTCTCTGGGAAGATGTGACCCCACTGTTTTCAGCTTGGGGAGAGTCCTTGGGGGCCCTGAGCATCCCAGATGTTTATGTCCCTGGCTTTGGGAACGCCCTGGGTTTGAATCCTAGCTTTGCTGCCTACAAGCAGTGTGACTTGTCTTGATTCTTTAGCTTTCTATTTCCTCTTTTTTAAGTTTATTTATTTATTTTGAGAGAGAAAGAGAGTGCGCACGAGCGGGGGAGGGGCAGAGAGGGGAGGCAGAGGATCTGAAGCAGGCTCTGTGCTGAGAGCAGACAGCCTGATGCAGGGCCCGAACCCACGAACTGTGAGGTCACGACCCGAACCGAAGTCGGAAGCTTAACCAACTGAGCCACCCAGGCACCTGTTTCTTCACTTGTCAAACCAGGGAAATAATCATCTTGTGAGGGGATCCTGCAGAGCACACATGGTGAGCATACAGAGTTAGCTTTCATTACTACCAATGGCATGTGGAGATTTGTGCCGAGCATTTCTGAGATACGCACATACATTGAAGGAGAAAGTGGGAATGAACAAAGAAGAGGGATGGTGTTGGGGAGAATAACACATTATAAATAAGGAGTTCAGGTCTATTCGTCCACCTTCAACTTGCCAGTGACAGGCAGAGCAAGACGACCAGACCCCTTTTTGTGAGCCTCACTGCCTGTGACATGGGGACGGGTGCAGCTCTGTGCCCAAGTGGTGGGCCAGACCAAGGACTTCACGTCAAAACCAGGGATTGTGTGGCTTCGCTGTTGAAATTTACCAGTTGACGTCTGTTTGTGATCTCGACTTTGCAGGAGTGGTTCTAAAAACACGTTAAAAGTAGTTCCAGCCTGAGATCTCTGGAGAAAGGAGAGCAACGTGTGGTGGCTAAGGGATTGTATCAGACAGGCATGGCTTTGGGTAATAGCTTTTGTTTTTAAAGCCCTGGTACCTCAGTTTGCTCATCTGTAAAGTGGAGATAAGAAGAGTACCTACCTCATGGGGTGGGAAATGTATGGGAAAATCCTGTAAGATATACACTACAGTGTCTTGTACAGAGTAAGGACTCAGTAAATGCTAGCAGTTATTACGAATGTCTAACATTGGTAAGTATTTTGAAGGTAAGGTCTAGAACAGCAGGGAAATTAACGTTTATGATATAAACAGGAATAGTTGGCAGGTCCTAAGAATCATCATACGCTCAGCTGTTGATGGTTATTAATAAATAAAACATTGAAAAAAATTTAATTATTTATCTTTACATTTTTTTTGTTATTTTACACACGAAGAGAAGAGAGGCAGCGTGTGAGCAGGGGAGGGGCAGAGAGAGAGAGGCATCAGAATCTGAGAAGGAGCAGGCTCAGGCGCTGACTGACTTACTCCAACTAGGAAACCCGAGTGTGCTGAACTCACAAATCATGAGATCTTGACCTGAGCTGAAGTCAGATGCTTAACTGACTGAGCCACCCAGGTGCCCCTTACTTACTTTTGAGAGGGGGGGCGGAGCAGAGAGAGTGGGGGACACAGAATCTGAAGCAGGTTCCAGGCTTTGAGCTGTCAGCACAGAGCCCAACATGGGACTCGAAGTCACGAACTGTGAGATAATGACCTGAGCCAAAGTCGGATGCTTAACCGACTAAGCCACCCAGGCACCCCGGTTATTAATAATTTTTAAACATTTTTGTTTTGAGAAAATAAACTCCAAGAACAAAGAACTATTATAGGCTAATTGTTTCCATTTCATAAAGATTTATCCTCCTGTGATTTTTTTTTTTTTTTT